AATGATTGTAACAAACTTCCACAAATGTCCTAAAAGTATTTTGAATGTGTTATGTAATACTTATATTCGAGTTTGTTGACTATTTCTTATGTAGATAAATTATATAAGTTATATAGTCAGATATTACCTTATGTGTCTTGTTACTAATAAAAGTATTTTTTTTTATTACCTCTTGTTACTAATAAAAGTTTACATTTTTCCTATGGAATAATTCATTAGTATTGTTTATAATAGAAATATTTATGTAATATATTCCTGCATTACTCGTTTCACCATAACTCTTGTTCCCAAATTATTAAACGGAATGTACTGCTACTGATGCTCCCGAAATAAACTCTGCAAATCAGAAGGTTCAGTACATTTATACACGAGTTCCATATAATCGCATGCATTTAGATTTGAGATAGTGCCATAGGGTTGGTAGGAATGTACTTCCTGGAGGATGTGATGTGTCATTTCCCAGCTTCTTTCTGCATCACTAATCACATTTAAAGCATGTCTATACCCATAATCATGAATCAAATATATTGCAGCTTATCAATCTTTAAATATGGGGGCTGAATTAATTTTCAATTTTTTAGCCCTTTTTTTTTTTACCTGGTGTTCCAGTCAGTAACACACTTCCTGTCTTAGAGTGGTTCTACTTTATGGAGGAGCAATGGAGTTACCCATGGACAGCAACATTGTCAACATGTGCAGAGGTTAGTGTTAGATGGACTAGCAGATTTAGATGACTAACAAATCAAATCTGAACTCCAGCTAACACAATTTAACCACCTCCATGGCCATTCCTGAACGGCAGGATGGGAGTCTTGTAGGAGCAGGAGGTGGTCTTAAGACATCATGCCCCTCCCCCCGCTCATGCGCGGCGCTCACAGCACACGAGTGGGGAACTGTTAGCAATGTAAACAGCCAGCGATGGCTGTTTACATTCAAGCGATCATAACCTGCTCCATTTAACTTTATTATGCAGAGGTAAAGGGAGGATTATTGGAATTTCACATACAAGTGCAACTGTTCTTTAGCATCCGCATATTTATAAAGCATGTCGAGACCCAAGAACAAAAATGTATTATATTGCAGCTTGCCAGTCTTTAGATGTGGTGGCTGTACTAGTTTCCATTTTCAGGGTTTTTTTGTGTTTTTTTTTTTAATTTTATTTTCACCTGGTGATCCTGCAAATACCACTCATCCTGTCCCTGGGTGGGTACACACATCCCAGTGGTATCTATGAAAGGAGACTTGGTTGCCACCCACTTGCTATGACTAAGGCCCAATAGGGCTGAAACTTGTAAGCAGGACTTTACAGTATGAAATAAAGATACATTTAGAGGAAATTCCTTGTGTGATGCCATCCTGCTGTAAACTGATGTGCATTCTTGGAAGGCGGATTGCACCATGGTGGTTAAGTGCGGGGTGTAATGGGAGGTTAGAGTGGTGTACTCCAGGTGTCATAGTTCCCACTCAGGCTGGACTTAAAAATATCTGCCTTTGCTCGTCTCCATTACATCTAGGAACCAAATGCTGTTCCTGGGGTAACATAAAAAAGGGAAAACCTCAAGCAGCACAATTGAAAAAGAAGAAAAAAAGGGGGGAGGTGGCTCCTCTCTCTGCCCTCTGTTAATCACTGCAAGGGAGAGAGAAATGCCCTGTGGGAGGGTGCAATGCTCAGATGAGCCGCTTAAAGGAGCTGCAAGCCTGGAGCTACATACTTAAGCAGTACCCTGACAGATATACATTTTGCCTGAAGAAAGTTCACTTTTTGTGCCATAAACCTCCCAGCTGTATATCTGCATTTAAAACTATTAGACCACCGCTGCTGCCAGTTACTTGCTAGGATGCCAGGCAGTTGAATAATGACAGCAGCAGTCTGCTGTTCACGGTCTTTATTCAACCCCCACAGCTGCCAGTTAGATGCCTGAACCTTCAATTTTCAGGCCTGCCCTTAACAAGCAGCACCCTGTGTTCCTGGGACCCAGCTCAGGACACAGGCATCGCAGGACAATTATCTAAACAGCGGGACTGTCCTGGCAAATTCAGGACAGCTGGCAAGTGTGACCTATCCTCATACTAGGGACCCTGACTGGGGGATTGATTGGCTAAGCTGTCACTGCAATCAATTGTGGGTCTGCACTATCTGATCATTGCATTAAGGTACAAAAATATCTTCTAGTATACTCCATACGCCCTGCTGTATGTTCCCGATTCCACACCACTTTATTCTCTAAGCCATGCTATTCATATTATTCCTATTCCAAACTGCCTTGTTTTATATGCCATGCTGTATATTCCCTATTCCACACTGACTAATTCTGTATACAATACTGTACATTTTTTATTCCACGCTGCCTCATTTTATATACCATGCTGTACATTCTCTATGAAACTCTGCCTCATTTTATATACCCCACTGGCTGTCAAAATACCTGAACAATCTGATGGGGTGTAGGCATTGTTTATGTATTTTGAGAGCCAGTGGGGTCGACTAGCAAGATATTAAAGCTTGGCCCAGTGGCAGATTCCTCTATCCACATAGTTTAGCATAGATGGGGGAATCTGTTGCACTTTTTCCATCTGATCATAAGCTGATTGAAAAAAAATCTATAGATGTATGAACAACTTTAGTTTGTGTCTGGGTGTGTCAGATGTGTAGACAGTGGTGCAATTTTAGTGTTTGCCATAGGCTCTACTTACCATACACACACCGCTGGCTCAGGGGGAAAAATGCCTTTCCCCTGAGATCACGCAAGATTTTGCAGCTTACAAATGAAAATTCCTATGAAGGCACGGCTGACGTAGCCTTCCCTGAATGCATCTGTGAGTCTAGGGGGTCTATTCACGAAGCAGTCGAAGGATCTAGCCGTAGCTTCGGCTGATTCTTCGGCTAGCTTCGGCCCCAGGACCCCTTCGGCTCAGTAGAACCGAAGGGCTGCTGTACGGGCTATTCACAATAGACCGTACAGCTCCCGAACTCCCGAGCAGCTCAGTCGAGCAGAAGGCATATGCCTTGGCTCGAGCTGCACTGAAAGACGAAGCTGGCCGAGTGGCCGCCATTGGCCGGCCGACAGCCTGCTTCTGATAGCTGGGCGGAGCCCGCCATGATCTTACGGCTGGCTCCGGTCACTTACAGAGAGATCAGCGTCCCTGGTTACCAGCTAACCAGGGACACTGATCTCCAGACAGCAAACTCTCCTGGGCGATCCGGGAGTCTCCCGCTCCCGGCCGCCAAGGAGAAATACACTGCTTTTTCTTTTTTTTTCTTTATTCTGACACGGAGCCATAGGAATGCATTGCTAGATTCCTATTGGCTATTTCAATTTGCAATAGCCAATAGTAAACTACCATTGCACCCACCCTTTGCTGATGGACCTGATGGAGAACTATTTTTCTGTTCTGCTCGGTCCGCTCAGCGGCATTCGACTATTCACTCACTGCTGTTCGGCATCTATAAGAATAGACCGTACAGCAGCAAGTAGCCTGCCGGAGGTTTGGCTTAGCCGATCCAGATGTTGGATCGGCTGAGTCGAACTCCTCCTGCCCTTCGGGTCGGCCAAACATGCTAAGCATGTTCGGCCGACCCGAAGCCATCCGATGTACGGCTCATTTCAGACGATATACGGCTGAAATAAGCCGTACCAGCCTGAAGTGAATAGCCGAACAGCGTTCTGCTCACTTCACTTCCTACGGCAGCTTAGTGAATAGACCCCTAGCTCTACATCACCAGTGCCTTACTTAACCGGGAAGTGAAAAAACAATCATTGTAAGTAAAAGCAAATATGTTTGCTTTTAATGCTTTCCTTTTTTTGTTAAACTAGTGATTGTAAGGTGATTTCATGGACATGCAGGGCTGCATGCTCATGTGATTTTTAGTGATGGGGTAAAGGTGCACTTTACCTATTTGGGGATTAGTTTTACTGAATAAGTGCATGCTGCCAATGAAATGGAAAATCAGTCACTATTGACAACACAGACATTTTCCTTTTAGGCAAATTTTTCAAACCCAATTACTGAAAAGTAAGCATTCCTTCATTCAGCTTTCAAACACAATATGTATTATATGTAAGATTCAGATCTGCCTTTGAATTGTTTTCATAAAATAAAAGACAACCGCTTTTTACGTCATCTTAGCTGCAATTTACATAAACAATCCACATTTCAGTGTAGTTTGACAAATTCCATTATTTTCTCACAAACAGTTCAACAACACAGGAAGAAAAAACCTTGTGTCTCTCATCTTAAATGAGACAATATGGATTATTTAATCAATGATTACACTAAATACTTCTAGGCAGTGCTGTTTAAGCAATTTTAAGCTAGTAGCAAGTTATCAGCCCTGCATGATCCTTATGGTGATGATGAAAATGATTCTGGGTTACAAAGTTCCCATTGTGAGAAGCCATGCTCCAATTTGTCACTTGCTTTCTCAGTGTATTTTCCTGTATATAGCTGGATTGTACATAAGCAAATTCCCAGCAAAATCACTTTGCAGCATTTAATGTGACAGCACTGTTTTTGTGTCTCACTGTTCTGAAATCCCTTTCAGAACACACATGACATCTATTAGACGACAGATGTGCACGAGTGTCATTTTAATGATCGATGTCATTGCTTTTCTTAATTCCCATTGATTTTCTTTGTAACTGTGCTTGTATTGATCTGCACCACCACTTTTCCCTTCTAAACGCTTATAAATAGTTTCCTTATGTGTTTAAAAGAATCTGTGCAGTTATTATTGTTTTAACAATGGAAAATTAAATTGTGTGAGCTATTAATCTCATATATAATGTATACAGACAGACGGAAATGCCACTGTATATTTATATAACTGGATGCATTGTCTACCAGCTGTTACATAGGCTTCTTTGGGACACAGGCAATGTAATAAGAATAAAATCTAGTAGATATCAACGGAGTATGGAGCGTTACGGTGCCTTGTTTACTGATCTGTGACTGTAACCATGGCAACCCTATGGCTTTCCGATACAAAACCCCACACTTACCTCTACAAAGATGAAGCATGGTATAATTGAGAAGCTGCGATGGGTATTGTTCTCCAAAGCCATTGCCTGTCAGCTGGAAAGGTCTGTGATACCTAAAATGTCTGGAACAGAGAAGAAAAAAATGGAAATCTTTAAACATTTTAACCCGGTTTAGCTTGCGGCAGTGGAAATGGCAAAATTCTCTTTACCGGTTTTCTGAAAAAATCAATCACCGTATGCTATGAAACCTTAGCAACCAATTTAGAATTTTTAGTTCACTGATCTGATTTTGTAGTCTAAAATATTTGATTCATTATTGCACTTGCATTGTGTATTTGCACTTTACAGTACATTTTGAATTTAGCCAATTAGTGTTGCCTTTTATTTGAAAAATAAATAATAATATAATAGGCATACATTTAACATGATAGGGTCCATTGTCATCTCCCTGGGCTGCCTATTAAGTCTTGGAAGGGCAGGTGCTGCTGCTAGACCAGAATATTGACTGCTTATTATAAAGCTTGGTTAAAGGTGTCAGCAAGCTTGTCTTGGAAACAAAATGTTAATTATAACAGTAACAACGTATGAGTTTCCTTGGTATTGAAAACATAAAGTCATTGTTGCAAATAAGTCAATCTGCAATTGTCCAACTGCAATAGCTTTAATCGTGCTTATTATCTTAAGCAAGAAGCCAGTGTGTCAGTTTCATCTAAAAATTTCAGTTACCAGTTTTTCATTTTAGAGACCCAAAGCATTAATGTGCATCATCGAGTATAACAAATTATTGGTAGTCCTGAAGACATTAGGCAGAGCCGTAGCTAGCTTCTTTTGCGCCCGAGGCAAGAACAGAAAATTGTGCCCCCCAACAGACGTGTGCGGCATGCGACTGACTCCAGGATGGTGGCAGAATGCGCTGATCGTTTGACGAAACCAATGAAAACATTTTTAGTTTCCGTTCATTTCGTCCGAAGCAAATTTTTAGTCTTTGCACATGTCTAGTAATAAGTGTGCATGAGTGTGTGAGGGGCGTGGGGGTGTTTTTTTTTTTAATTTATCTTTTATTATTATTATTTTTTTTACTGTTTTAGGGAAATATTAGGGGTCTAAACAGACCACAGACATTTCCCTTTTGCAATAGAAAAAGAGATTGAGGACCAGAGTCCTCTGCCCATACAGGCGGGAGAGAGCAGTGGGGATCCGAGGAGAAGCTGGAGCCTGTTCCGCTCCTCTTCTCCCTGCCAAACCGGGACTGTGTTGGCCGCCTGGTGCCCCTGTTGCCAATGGCACCCTGTGCTCGCAATGGCAACAGTTGTGAGGGGGGCACAGCCAATCCAGCCCTGGCTGCGCCCCCTCTCAGCTGCGCCTGAGGCGAGTGCCTCACTCACCCCATGGTAGCTACAGACAGAGGCTGTTGAGAAGATCCAAGGTTTCTATTTATTACTGCAAAAATTAATTTGCACCTTTTATTAAATAGAGATTTACAATACATACAATATTAGATTAACTGGAGAGCACTAAATATTAAATAGGAGCACTAAGATTGTTATATAAGTGAACACTGATAATTAGGTTTTTTGCCTGTAATTTATTGAGCATTTATGGGATTATTTTTATTTCATCTTATTATATGATATTACTACTCTTATAAGATTGTTACTGTGTTCCTATCATCTTAAAATTACTTATTATTGTGCTTCTATAATTTTATAAGTATTACTTTTAATGGATGTCTATTAATCTTCAGTATAGTGGACTCATGCTGTGATACTCCTCACACCCCTCGGCGGGGACAACGAGCCGTGCACGCACCTGCGCAGGGCCGCCGCGAGACTCCTCCCACTGTCGTCCGGCGGTGTCAATGCGCAGGCGCGCCTCGAGACTGCGCCCACTCACCCGAGTAGTCGGCATAAAGCCTCGATCCACCGTTTGATCGGCGTCCCACTATTGTTGAAGCAGGACGCTGATCAAACCAACAGGCCTGCTACTCCAGGATCCACCACTTGAAGGAGATTGCTGCTGACGTCCCTCCATACCTGCCGTAGCCACTGAACAGCAAGTATTGCTACCATAGTCACAGGGCTATGGTAGGGAGATCTCCACAGCAGTTCCTACATGCAAAATCAGCTGCATGCCTTTCTGCAATTTGAACCTATTGCCTCACTATATGCCTATACAACTACTTGCTTTCTTCAATTAGAACCTAATTCCTCACTATATGCCTATACAACTACTTCCTTCCTGCAATTTGAACCTATTACCTCACTATATGCCTATGTAACTACTTGCATTACTGCAATTTAACCATAGCATAGCCATATGCCTACTGAACTGTCTGATTCACTGCTACTTAACCCCAAACGCATAGTTATATGCCTAATCAACTGTATGCCGTAATGCACCTTAAACCTGTCGCATAACTAAACACCTACTGAACTGTCTGATTGCTGCACCGTAAAACTATCGCATAACTAAACGCCTACTGAACTGTCTGATTGCTATCGCATAGCGATAGGCCTGTTTATACTGTCTGCTTTGTTACAGGCCGAACGGGGTATGATGTGAAGCAGCTCTCTCCAAGCCTTATCAATATCCTGGGCATCGGAGGTAGAGCTGCGATCTGATACCGTTCCCTCTAAAAGCAAAGCCAATTCCACAGCTGTGGTCCAAGGACCGTGTTAAACCCTGGGGGTGTATTACACATGCTACCAGTTAATGAAGCTTAGCAGAGATAAAGTTAATGAATTAAGAAGCAATCTTTTGCAGTGTTGGGTGATGTTATATTTCGTTCTGCATCCCCCTGATGAAGTCACATGGTACATGACATAATGCACATAGGGCGGGACTTGCAGAGGAATCGAAGAATCGTTAAAGAATCTGCTAAGTTTGCAGTTACTGTCACTGCTGGAGCTGAGCTCATATCACCCTGGGAGACGAGCGAGCAGGTGAGCTGAGCTAGTGAATCAACTGGATTGAGTTATCCTTGAAGTGTGAGGCAGCAGACACTTTACTATTTGAGTGGCTTGTCAATTTTTTTTATACATGTGAGTAGTTTTAATAAATCTATTTAAACTTTATATTGAGTGGTACGCACTATGATCTCCATTTTTTTTTCCTTTTATGAGCAACATGAAGGAGAAGTGGATGACTTTCTTTTTTAGGATTTAAGGTGACTGTGAATGTCACAAGGTGCATATAGACCTTTTGGAAAAGAGGTCTATTTATAAGGTGAGCAGCTTGTTTCCTGGAGCCTCATAGGTGAAGTGGTGGATTGAAGAGCTTTTACAACTTTAACACAGTATTGGTGGAACATATGAACCCCATATGGGGTGGAACATATGAACCCCATATGGGGTGGAACACATGAACCCCATATGGGGTGAAACCCATATGTGGGGTTCTATAAGGACTTTACATATTTAGATATATTGCATTATATATGAGAATGTACACTTATTTTTAGACATATTTGTATTGATTGTTTTAGTTATTTAGCGCGGCACAAATCCTTTTTTAGTTTTTTTGCTTTGTCACTATTCATCAGTGCATGCAGCAGGTGTTTTTATTATCAGCGTGAGATACAATTTGTAGTTTTTATGAACCGTAAATACTGCCCTGGTCCATTAGGGGTTTGCAGATGCAAGGGTTGAACTGGTTTAAAGACTTCAGAGATAAAATATACTTCAAATGCAACTCAGAAATCACATGACCTTTTTGCACTCATTATCAAAGTGTAAAATTAGCATCATCCTCATGGCCCCTCATAGCAGTTTTCTGGCAGTATCTGATGCTTGTTCCACTCCACTCCAATTGAAATGGAGAATGTTCCCCCATTTTTACATTAATGTAATGGTATTGCATGATGCAGAAGAAAAAGGCAGCATGTAGTTGTAATCTTTGCATGTCCATGACAAATTTTTACAACAACTTTTCTGAGTTAGAGGTTATCATAATATAGACCTTCACATGCAATATTTTGCTTTCTGGAATCAATTATCCTGGCTGTTCAGAAAAAGGTAAAATGAATTGGTTATCTACAGAGCATCTGCTCCACCCCTCAGAATGCACTTCTTCAAAAGCAATAAACTAACAATCAAAGCTTTATTTTTGATCACTGTGATAGCTAAAAGGCTGTTGAAATAGCATAGGTTACTCACAAAGGGTAAACTGAGTATGCATTGATTCCAGCTTTTGGGAATTGCATGCTTCAGCAAGGAAAATAAAGAGCAGTAACATAAGAACAGAAAAATGTATCTCTGCTTTCATAATGCTGACCTTTTTGAACTGGCACCATTTTTTCTTTTTTTTTTTCTACATCCAAGGCAATATCTTCATTTGTTCCATCTACCCTCTTCCTATGTCTGATACCACCTCATCATGTGTCAGTATAATTCAATTATGTATTCGAAAAAACCTTGTCATGTGTCTGAATAAATCTCATCAAATGTCAGGCATACCATCTGACAAATGATGATATTTAGCCTAATTTGAGTAGAGAATTTATCTGATGAACTGTATTGAATGAATTGATATAGTATGAGATATTGGCTTGAAACACAATACATACTATCGTGCATCTTTGTTGCCCATTTTACCATATTGTGATAAGCTTTACTGTGTTTTGTTGTGCATTTTTAAAAAACTTTTTGCTGCATTTTATGTCTCTTGGGCCTCCTGGTCCCACATTGTCTTACTTCTTGAGGCTCCTTATGAGCCATATAAAGTGATGGATGACCCTACATACTTTTACTAATTTCAGCCTGGTTCCTTTGTACTTCTCTGTAACTGTTTAGGACATCAATAAATAAAGTGTAGACACGAGTTATAACAGTGGTATAATAAAAGTTGTTTTAGTGTTATTTCTTGCCAACAATACGCGCAAATAATTATTCTTATCATTATCTTACTTTTTTATTTTCTTTACAAGCAGAGAAACACTGCTGGAATTGTTGTTGTTAGTGTGGACATGGCAGCAAACAAACATACAAACATTTAAATATATGCGTTTAAAGCTGGTGGTGACTTTTTAAGAAAAATATAAATTCAGTAAGGGCCAGGCTGAGGGGTAGGCAGAAGAGGCAGCCACCTCTGGTGCTAAAGAACCTTGTCCCAACACTGAATGCAGTA